ATTCTCGTCCCTGTTCCCGTGGTATCTGATATCCAAGTATCTGAGGCCAGGGTGTCTTGACATGGTTTGGGGCATCCAGCTTTGTCAGGCGAAGCTGCCAAGAGTGGTTGGTTTTCAGGTTTCTTTCCCCAGATGGACAGACACAACACCCGCCTTGTCTTCCTGGCTGCGGAGTCAGTTTTTCCTGAATACGTCTCATGTGAGTGAGCAAACCGGTTTCTCCTCTCCCTGGCACCAGACAGTGTACACCAACCATGTAGTCCAACTAGAGGCTGGGAGCCCAGAACTTGAAGATGGAAAGATTTTTTTCCCTGGAGCCATGTAACATGAGCCAAACAGCTATACATAAAATTCGGTAGAAATGTTGCAGATAGCACATTCTAAGAAGGTTGGACATGAGTGAAGGTCAGGAAGGGGTCTCTAGAGGAAGACCTGAAGCACAAATGGGAATTACTGGGGAGAAGACGATGGGAGGAACAGAGAGTACTCCAGGCAGAGGAAACAGCAGATGCCAAAGCTGGGAGAAGAGAGAGAAAGTGCAAGTTGTGGGGTGTAACTGAAAGGCATGAGATGGGCTCTAAGCAGGGGCCAATGAGGACATTGGTAAGCACAGAGTTTGTAGCAAAGGAGGGGTCTTTAAGCAGAAGAAGGACATGATCATATATATTCTGGCTGTAGCATGGAGGTTAGATTGGAAGAGGCAAGGCTGGCAGCAGGGAGACCAAGTTGAAGGCTGATGTAGGCAACCATGGGAGAGCGAATGATGGACCTGTCTGGCTGGTGACAGAGGTGGAGAAGAGTGGGTGAGCTGGAGAGACATTACTGAGAGACGGTCCGCAGGACTTGGAGAGTCCATAGGATGTGAGGGGTGAGGGCAGGTTAGTGTCTGGATGGCTCCCAAGACAGAAGACACACCTGGCAGTGTACATCATCAAGACAGGAGATGTACCTCCAGACCCAGGCTGGCATCTGAGCCCCAGGTTCAAGGACCCAATTTCTTTCTTGACCATTGTCATTGACAGCTAATAGGCTTTTCCAACTGGGTGTGACTACAGGGGAGACAAAACTTTTCTCCCTACTCTTTTAGGTTCTGTGATAAGGGCCCTGCAAATTAAACTGACAAATGACAGATTAACAGGAGAAAAGGCATCTGAATTTCATTTGATGTCAATATTTTCATTTTTATGTGTACCTGAGGGTCTTATAAAGGAATTGAAAATCCAAAGAAGTACATAGGACCAATAGCTTATATATTGTTTTACCAAAGAGTGATGAATTTGTGGAGAAGTGACAAGACAAAGAAAAAAAAGGTTTGGGCTTCTAGGGGAGGTAAATGCTGTCAAGGTAAATATATGGGAGAAACTAATGGAAGACAAGGGTTAGTTTAGTAGGGTTTGTTTTATGCAGGCTGGGGTCAGTGCTGCTCCAGTGATAAGAAGTGTTTCCTCTTCCTGGTACTGGAGAGGAGAGGAGGGGCACCTTCACAAAAGGAGACTCATGCCCTGCTTTTAGACAGAAAGGAAGATGGCAGACAGCTTGTCCTGAATCTGCTATTTCTCAATTGCTTTCAGCTCAAAATAATCTTCATGCCAAAGTGGCATATTTTATTAAGAGTGACATATTCTGATCCCCTTTGTGGCTGGTACAGATGCCTTGTTCTCATCCTTCTTCTTCCCCTCTGGATCCCTCTCTCCTGTCCCTCCCTCCTCTCCTCTTTCCTTTCCTTCAATTCCAGTTCTGCAGTGGTCTATTTGACCTTGGGTGCTTCATCTGATCCTTTACTAATGCCTTTCTGCATTAGTAAAATGGAGGTACCAGTGGATCCCTCTAGCTCGTCTGCAAGGCATCTTCCTGTTCTAAAGTTTGAAGACTTGGCTGGCCAGGTGCGGTGACTCATGCCTGTTATCCTAGCACTCTGGGAGCCAGAGGCAAGAGGATCTTTCAAGGTCAGGAGTTTGAAACCAGCCTGAGCAAGAGCGAGACCCTGTCTCTACTAAAAATAGAAAGAAATTAATCGGCCAACTAAAAATATATATAGAAAAAATTAGCCGGGGATGGTGGCGCATGCTGTAGACCCAGCTACTTGGGAGGCTGAGGCAGAAGGATTGCTTGAGCCCAGGACTTTGAAGTTGCTGTGAGCTAGGCTGATGCCACTGCACTCTAGCCCAGGCAACAGAGTGAGACTCTGTCTCCAAAAAAAAAAGTTTGAAGACTTGGGCCTTGGAGGAAGCAGAAGGTAGCCGTTATGAGGTGGGCTTTCAAGTCTGACCAGCGGTGTTTTATTCCGGCTGTACCAATGCTAGCTCTTTAATCCAGGGCAAGTCACATCAACTCTGTAAACCTCGTTCTCTGAATACAACGGTAACGATAATAATATCTACCACAGATAGCTGTTGCGAGGAGCTAATCTATTTAGTACAGTTCCTGACATGTAGTTAGCATGCAATACATGTTAGCTATTAAAACATAATTATATTAATATAGCCATTATTATTATCAATGCACTAACAAATGTGGTGAGCAGATAAGTGAGCATCATAATAACTAATGCTTATTGAGCCCCTGGAATATGCCAGGATTTTTTCTACATTTTATGCAA